TTGAACACAAAAGAAGATATTTTGAAGAATGTTGGTAACCAAACTTTTGCTGTTAGCCAAAAAAAAAACACTATGGAAGTCAATGGCTACCAGCAAACGTCTTCTTTTCTGTTCGATAGAAGAAAAAACTTATACAAGTTTGGAACAACATGAGGGTCAGTAAATGATGACAACATTTTCATTTCTGGGTGAACTATCCCTACAACTGTTATAAAATAAAATAAAAATATATATATAAATGTAACCCTTATTTTATAGTTGCCAAAGCAACATTTCTCATTTTCACTTAGTTGAATAATACTTTAGTATTTACCCTGCAGCTCGAGGAGGCAGAATAGGGAAACAGTGACATCTATTGTTAAAAATGTGAATAATTACTACCAGTGAATTTCTGCTTTGAGATCAAGATAAGAAATTGTGTAACAAAGCTTTATGTTTCACAGGCAGGTTCCCTGGTGAGGGGGGAATTGTCGCTCCTGGAATGAGTTGCCAGTATATGGTGCGTTTTGCTCCAGACTCTCTGGCTGACTATGAGGACGTTCTGGTTGTGGAGATGCAGTTGCCGTATCCTCTCATTATACCGATAGAGGCCCACAGACCACCTCCAATACTCAGTTGTGAGTCATAAACTTAACTCTTTCAACATCTAGATCTTAAAGGGATAGTTCACCTAAAAATGAAAAAAACAACAATGAAAGTCAACTGACATTCAAAATATCTTAATTTGGCTTGTTTTGATATTGATCAATAATAATGGCTTTAAAGTTGAATCATTGCCTCTCCTCTTTCTGTGTGCCAGTGCCTTCTGTCATGGATTGTGGTTACTGCCTGGTGGGAGGGGTGAAGTTTATGGAGGTTTTATGTCGGAATGAAGGATTGAGTGCAGGAACATTCTGTGTTATGCCTAGGAAACAGTGGCCTGCCTCAAGCCTTAGGGTAAGCAAGCAAATTTCAACATGAAATCTCATTCAGTTCATAGTTAAGATTCCTTTCTGTGACAGTATTATTATTTATGAATTCCAGTAAATCTCATATTTTCTACTCTTCATATTTTTTTTTATAATCTGCGGGGTTAAATACACTATTGCACACTTGAACCTTCTTTTATCTGAACATTTTAAATTGAATACAAACAATGTCTTAAAGTGAAAATGAAAATAAAATCTATTTTCAGAATGCATGTTTTTGATCTTATTGTGAACTATTAATTTTCTACATTTTTGAGCTCGTAATTTTGTAAATTTTGTAAAATCATAAAATGTAATTATTTTTTGCAAAATGATCAGAACTTGATAAAATAACTGACTGGTGACTTATGCCGGACCAGGGGCGATTCTAGGATTTTCATTTTAAGGGGGACACACACACACACACACACACATCTGTTTACTGTAGGCTACACACATAGTACAACCCTCTTTCCTTAGCTCAAGTATGTAAACCTCTTTGCCATATGCACTGAAAAATGTATTACATTGAAAGTTAAATTTTCAAATGAAAATGGCAACATGATCGTTTTATACAGTATGCGTTCATATGTGCTTCGTTTTCGCTGGAGGAAACAGCTGTGGTGTGAGGAGGGGTGAACGCAGCGAAAAACTTAGGCTACAACCAATTGATATTTTGTAAACCGTATTTATGACAAAGAACAAAACTGCACAGATGCAGATATTACAACAATCTATTGTTAAACACACACCTTGTCCTCTGTTTCTCGCTCTGCGCCGCTGCTGTCTGCTGATTGAAAAAGAACGCTATAGCCCCCCTAAAAATGGCCTAGTGACGCCCATGTGCCGGACTTCTCCAATCATTTAGTTCGCTTTAAAAATGGCCTGTTCTTCCTCCATTGAATCAACAACCGACAGAAGTTCCCATCCTACTTTTTTGTTTTTCCGATACTCCGTTTCACTTGGATGTATGTCACAATACAGAAGAAAAGATCTGTCACTACTTCTGTTACATTGTGACTTTAACCTTTGTTGCTTTTGGTCTGTCTTAGTAAATTGTTAACCATCATAAGTGGTAATTCTGTGTGTGTCTCAGTCTGCAGTGAAGTCTACTTTCGCAGAACAGCCTCCCTTTGCTATCAGTCCCTCTATTTTCGGTCTTCTCCCTGGACAGGCCACTGTCATAGAGGTTAGATGTTGCTGACTGCACATTTTTAGATCTTTATCTTTACTTTACAGAAGACGATGGATGTGAAAAACAATGCGTGAGTTCCCTGCACACATCTGTGTAAACACAGAATAGTATGTACAGCAGATACTTACTGGCATGTTTGTAAATCATATTTTCGTTTATGTGTAGACACTTGGAGCTCCCGTACCACTGGCAGATCATGAAACCCAACCTTCAATGTCTGTTGCCTGAAGAGACTCTAGACCCCTCCAGCATTCAGCATCATCTTGATACAGACAGTGTGTTCAGCATTACTCCAGTCATGGGCATCCTGAGCCCTGCACAGGAACATGAGTTCCTGCTCACATACTGTCCAAAGGATGTATGTGCACTCACACATATACGCACACTTATACACATGTGCACACCTTTACTTTACTCTGAACCAGGGGTATTGTTGTTAACTAAAACTAAAACTAAAACCATAAAATTTCATTAGTTTTAATAAAATAAACATTAATTGAAATTACTAAAAATGTAATTAAAATTAAAATGAAAACACAAACTGTAAAATAAAAACTACCACAGTGTCTGCCAGTTGGCGATCATGGATGTTCCCGATCCACCCAGAATCAGTGATGATGGGTAAAATGAACTTTACTTAACATTTGATATTTGAATTTAAAAGTAATTTAGGATAAATTTTTCAGTCAATAAGCACGTCATGTAGAAACTTCTGTGTGCTGATTTACAGGATGCGTCTCAACACAGCTCTCCATGTAAAGGATGTGACTGCTTTAGAGATTGAAATGAAAGGTTCTGCTGAGCCGTATAAGATCCTTCTTGAGCCGTATGCTGTTTTAATATCAGGGGAGACTTACATACACAACACAATCCGCAAGAGATTCAAGGTAGCACTGAGTGCAGAGGTCAAATTGACGCTGAAGTTCTTTCTTAATTCCCAAGTTTGCATCATAAAATGTTTTTGAAGCTCAGACATGTGTATGTTTTGTGTGTATGTGTGTGTTTTAGATGTGGAATCACAGCAAATCAGTCATTCACTTTGAATGGGAGCGTATTATTGACAGTCATGCAATTGAAGTGGAGCCTTCAATAGGAGAAATAGGTCAGAACATTGCAGTGTATCAGTAAATTAATGTAGTATGAACAAACAGATATACTGTTCAATCGTCTGGAGTCAGTAAGATTTTCTTAAAGAAGTTAATACTTGTATGAAGGACACATAAAGTTGATTAAAAGTGACAGTAAAGGCAGTTATAATGTTAAAAACGATTTCTATTTCATCGCTGTTCTTTTCAGGATTCAAAGAATCCTGAAAAAAAATCTATGACTGTTTCAACGAAAATATTAAGCTGCACAACTGTTTGCAACATTGATAATAACAGGAAATGTTTCTTGAGCAGCAAATCAGCATATTCGAATGATTTCTGAAGGATCATGTGACACTTGCCAAAGACTGGCGTCATGATACAAAAAATTCAGTTTTGCCGTCACAGGAATAGATTACATTTTAAAATATATAAAAATAGAAAACAGTTATTGTAAATTGTAATAATATTTCACAATATTGCTGTTTTTACTGTATTTTATGATCAAATAAATGTGTCCTTGGTGAGCATGAGAAACTTTATTTAAAAAAAAATCTGACAGACTCCAAACTTTAACGGTAGTGTATAAGTCTATTAATTAATAAACAAATTACACAAATAAATGATTTCTAACGTGTGCTTGCTTACAGAGATGAATGAGTGTTTCGACATGGAGCTGGTTCTGACTGGAAGCGATCCGGGTCATTTTAACTCAGCACTCACATTCAGCACCATCCTAAAACTATAGGGCTGGCCATTGAGGTCACATTTAAGGTGTTTGAATCCATCTCCCAATGATTTATACTCCGTATGCTATGTGGAGGCCATCACAAATGTTCTCTTTAGCAAATTATGTCTTACCGTTTCATTCAAATTCAGTATATTTAATATGGTGTCTCAGGGTGCGCATTGCTCAGTGAATGTGCCCAGTCTGGATTTTGGTTTGCTGCAAATGGGAAGTGAGAGAATCTCCACCATTGATATCACCAACAACAGCCTGCTAGATGCCCACTGGAGCCTAGAGGAACTGTCCCACACCCAGCTGCCAATCAAGGGACTGGTACAACACCCCATTTACGCTTCTTCGAAATCAAGTCAAGGGTTTAAACTTATTGGTATTATGTATTAAATGTTATTAGTATTATAAATCGGCACACAGATGTATATAAATATAGAGTGTGGATATTTTTTTTCAAAAGCAGTTTTTTTTATTTTTATCTCCTTTTCTGCATTTGTGTTCAGGTGTATATGAATCCAAATAAAGGTGTGCTGCCTCCCCTGGCGTCCTGCAGTGTGGATGTGGTCTTCAGGGCCCTGTACTGCCAGCGTTTTGAGTCAGTCCTGCAGCTTACTGTGCTCAACGGCACTGGCTGGTGAGGAAATGAATCACATCATTTGTCATATTGTGTCTGAGCTACAAGAAGAGAATACTACAGAAATGTTACCTAATGAAAAGCAGTCATTACTTTTGAGTGAAGGTGTACATTTGTTTGTCTTTAGTCATCTCTCTGTACGAGCAGTCGTCCAGTCTCCTCAGGTGTGCTTGGTGAGCTGTGAGCTGGTGTTGGCTGATCTGTATGTAGGTGTTCCACAGACAGACAGTGTTACCTTGTTTAACCAAACACTACTGCCAGCCCACTTCACCTGGAGCAAGGTGAGACAGTTTATATATTGTGTTTATCTCAAGATGTTTTTATCTTGTTAAAAAAAAAACAAGCCAGTGACGATAGTTTGGAAAGAATGTGAAGTGATGTTATCCCGTGATGTGGTCATAACTCACAGAAAATAAAATACACATTTATGTATTGCAAATGTGCTTTTGCGTAATATTTCATTCACTAGGCGTCAGTATAATTCCCTAAATGAAGCCAAATTAATGAATCTTACAATGTCTGTCAACCAGTCAAAAGAATTCAGTATTGCTGTGATATAATGTTGTGATATTGTACAAGTTAGACCAAGTATTATTTTTCTAGTCATTCACATAGTGTTCCAAACTTTAACTTTAACTTCAAACTTCTTCTCAGCTCCAAGGTGCACAAGCTCATCTCTGCTCTGCAAGCTTCAGCCCCTCTGCAGGCACTCTGGAGCCCAATGCCAAGACAGAAGTCTCTGTCTCATTCACTGCTCACACTGTTGTATGTACTGCTACTGTAACACCCACAGCTTAATATAAACTAATCATCTGTTGATATTCAAGCTCTAGCGCAATATATTTTTCCAAACATTATTGTGAATAAGACTTTACGTTTTTAGGAGGAACTGACTAAAGTGGCTGCAGCTTGTGAAGTAAAAGGAATGGAGAGTCCATTGTTGCTGGGCTTTTTTTCTAAAGCCAAACCTCTCAGAGTTTCCTACTCACTGCCTTCTGATTGGTAATGCCACAAATACCTCATATTCACATTTCCCTGGACTTTGGTCTTTTTATTAGCTTTTTTTAATCAAGACATTGTTGCAGTATCACTGTCTTTTTCACTGTTACATATTTAGTGTTAATTCAAGGGATGCCGATCACCAAACAATCACACTGGACTTCAGTGAGCATGAGCCAGTCGTCATTGGCAAATCTATCAAACGGCAGTTGCTGATAACTAACGACACCGCTATTACTGCTCCGTTCACTGTTGAAGCAGAGTACTTTACTGGATGCTGTCCTTCACAATTGGATGAAAACTCTGAAAGGTACAGTATATATCTTTATTCTTCATTCATATCTTTATTCTGAATTCTTTTAGTATTAATACAAACATATTTTTAAAAAGACTAACGTTTAATTAACCATTAATATAGCATTTGGGGTTGATTTTTTAAAATGTTTTTAAAAGAAGTCTCTTATGCACACCGAGGCTGAATTTATTGTAATATTACGAAATATCATTACAATTTTAAATGCATGTTCCTTCAGAAATCATTCTAGTATGATTTGGAAACATTTCTTCTTATTATCAATGTTGAAAACAGGAGCGGTGCACCTCTCCACTCTGTCCAGGCCAAAAAAATACAGCAAAAAGCATATGATGGTTGGTGGAACCTATTCTTTTGTGCTCTACAGTATCAGTGAAAGTGAAACAGCAAAGTCAAAAACGCAATTTCTTTCTTTACTTCCAGAATTTGTAAACTGTCTTCTTTCCAATGGGAGAGGTGCAGCATTCTTTGTTGAACCGAACAGTGGGATGCTCGGCCCATTTGAGACTCAAGCCATCAATATCACTGCTCTCACCAATATGTGGGGGAATTATCAAGACAAGCTCATATGTAAAGTATGTCACAAAACAATCAAACATCTTGTTTCATTATAAATATTTTACCTTTCTCAAATTGAACAGTTGAGTTACAGTGAATTCTGACTTTCAGGTTGGAGATCTAGATCCAACTCCCATTCCTATCCAGATGTCTGTGAGGGGCTGCCCCATTTACTTTCAGATGATTGGACCACAACCTGACAACCAGAACCAGGGTCCAATTATACGGTCAGTGTACTTATAGGATACTTTAGATGTTGCAGTTTACTCGCAAAGACAGTTCTTTGATATTTATGATTGACAGATTTGGAAGCCATGTTTCTGGAGGAGACACTGTGTCACGCTCTATTACGGCTCATTAACACCAGTCCGTATGGTGAGCCATTCCACTACATTGAGTTCACAAATGTACACACATCATGTCATTTTCTGAAACCTCTCAGATATCCGTAT